TTTGGGGGAAAAACCTTTTCAAAAAGAAGCACATTCTCTTCACTAATGTAAAGGAAATTGAAATAATAAGAAACCAATTAAATACTATATTAGCGGTATTCTCAAACACTGTCGCTAAAAGTACCTTTATTAAGTTGTGTATCTCAAATTTGATTCCAAACCAAGGTAATAGAGTTTTGGTTCAGACACAGTATATCGAAGACAGCATGCAACTCACCAGCTATTTCACCATGACTTACCAATCAATGCAAAAAATATTGTCTGTCACAAACTTATAAATTTCAACTCATAGGACCGTGTGGCATCTAAAAAAGCCATTGACTCTACCTACTTGCTATCTGAATCTCTTCTGAAGCATCCCGGACAAACAGAACTCGTCTTCCATGAGCAAGCACACTTCCTTTCTCTGGGTCCATTCCCCTGCAGAGACTACACAGTTAGAAACGTATGTTTTTCATGAGTTGAAATCTGCTGGTCTTTGATTTATACTTCATGGAATATAGAATATTTCAAATAATTATTCAATTATGAGAGCTTATCAAGTTACAGGAATTCTGCTTCTCCAAGTTAGACATCCATATATTCTTTTAGCCATTTCTCTTGCAACATAATTATAAACACTTGTCATCTGTTCATGCTTCTTTGAACAGTTTCTAGCATTGCTAAAAATTACTATAATCAATACAAAAATAACATGCCATGAATGGTCTGGCTAATACAGAGTAAAGATGGATCATCACCTCTCTCTTCATATTCTACTTCTCTTGATGAAAAACTTACAGTGAGGGCAAAGTAAAAAACAGTCCTGGGAATCAGACCAATCTGTGGTCTTAAGTGACGGCGTTGACTTTGGGCAAGTTAGTTATCTGTTTGATCTTTAGTTTCTCTGGCAATCAAACAGAAATCAGCATCTGCCTCACAAGACTTTGAGTAGGATCAAACATGAGAGTAATTGTATGTCAGCCAGTAGTACTACACCCAGAACATTGTAGGTGTTCCATAAATGACAGCAATTATTTTGTATGTGCTATACATGGTTAACTAAACTGAACTGATGTAAGTTTCCTAATCAGTGTGAAAAATCAAGTGTTCAATAGTTTTTCTTGTCAGAAAAATACCTTTTGGTATTTTGGTCTTATGGTGATATACTGACTTCAAATTAATACTAAATTCATCAAATGTTCATTTATTTAATAAAGCACAATATAAAGTATTATTGGATTACTTCACTGTGGCAAAATTTCTTACCCTAGAAATGATTTTCAAACAAAAATTTTAGCTGGATTCATGAATTTTTAAAAATATAATCTCAATATATCTCTTATTATAATTTTCTCAGCTATACAAGTTTTAAATACATTAAAAAACCCTAAATAAAATATAATTAAAAGTTATCCCTAAAGTAGTAAAATTCAGCCTTTAAGCACAAAATATTCATAATTGGTTGAAAATTCTTTTTCCTTAAAAGTCTGATAAACAGTTCCACTGCTATTATAATTTAATGGTTGAAAGTTACTTATTTTTCTTATTTTATATAAACAGGAATAATTTTGAAATCACATCCTATTATAAACATATAAATAAATACATGTATAAGTGTTAAGCATTATGGTAAATAAATTTTAAAACTAGGTCAGAAAATTTAAGCAGAAGTTTAGGTTGGATCTCCTTGTGAAACGTGATTTCCTAAACTTGCTAATGATTTATAGTACATTGTCTTCTAGGATATTTTCTTTCTATAATAAAAACTTCATTAAGTATTCATTTACTCAATAGTTATTATATAGCTTATTTATGAGCTTTCTGTACATATGGCAGGGACTGAATTCTTTTTGAAATAAGGCTAGACATGTGCCAGGCGCTGACCAGTTAGGACAAATACTATACTCATTTGAAATGAGGACCAAAGGTTAAACCATTTGCCTTATTGATTCCAAAGCCACAAATATAATGCGTTTTCTACAAGCCCATGGTTCCTAAATCATGTTTAAATTCCCATTACAAAAATGCTTTCATTATTTGCATACTTTTTGTTTCACTTTTTAATAAAATGCTAATTGCATCAAAGATAAATGCTAACTTAATGAACATGAATTTATTTCTTCATATGAATATTTTATTTAGAAGTGAGTCTACACAGATACAGAGAACGTTTGGACGGTTGCCAGATGGGAAGAGGGGTTGGGAGATTGGGTAAAAAAGGTGAAGGGATTAAAATGTACAAATTGGTAGTTACAGAATAGTCACAGGAATGTAAAGTACAGCATAGGGAATATAGTCAATAATACTGTAATAAGTATAAATGCTATCAGATGGGTACTGGATTTATTGGGGTGATCACTTCGCAAGTTATATAAACGTCTAATTACAGGATTGTACATCTGAAACTAATATAATATTGTATGTCAATTCTAATTTTAAAATAAAATAAATAAATAAAAGAACGACAAATATAGCAATCTCCTGTTTAGGGGGTATAAATAAAAACTAGGGATTTCTTTTCTTCTCTCCTTGTGGCAGTTACACTCAAACTAGAAATGTACTACAGTACGCTAACTTGTTTATCAGAAATCAACTGCATTAAACTTTTTATATTAAGGTACTTTATGACAGACTAAGCACATTTCAGATATAGCTTTAGGAGAGGGGGAAGAGGCCAGAGACCTAACAAAATAATTTCTCTTGCCAAATGACATGCTATGTTTAAACTCAGGAACACTGCGTTTCCAGATAATTTAAATATACAGTCAGAGGCATTAGAAAAGGTTTCTAGGTGTCCACTAAGAGAAAACGTAAATAATATGTTAAAAACAGCATACTGGAACCTTACTAATGTTATATAAAAATAATATTCACTAATGCTATATAAAGATAATACTCTATAAAATTTCACAGATGGGGGGATAAAGGTCAAACAGATTTATTACTGGGCGTAAACATATTATGGACCAAGTCCTGTAGACATTCTTTACCATAATCCTACGTACACACTTTAATATCAATAATTGCAAGGCTTCACAGACTCTTTTTATAATCACCTTTTAATCTAGGAATTAAATTAAGTCTAATTTTTTTTAATTTCATGTCAAAATAACTATTTGATAACCCTTAAAAAATGTTCCAAACACAAAAATCACTTAGGCTATGTCTGAAAGCAATGGTCTATTGCATCTTCTAATTCACAGCATTCTTTTCTAAAACATTAAGTAGTGTATTTTATGTACTTTATAGAAAAAACAAAACAAAACTAGGATTAAACTGTTTTCTCTGAATGTAGCTTTTCTCCAAAACATCTCTTAACATAGCAGGAACTTAAAAATTAAATGGAACAGTGATTCCCCCAATCTATGGGGTGGAATGGTTTCATAATTTCTGCCCGACTTGATTAGAAAAGTTTTTCCGTCTCAGAAACACTCCTAAACACAAAAGCCTTTCATATGTAGTATCAGACGAGAAAGCTGTTTTTTCTAAATTACACATTTCTTTTTCAATTTTGACTTCCTGGAATTCAGATTGCCATTTTAAATAATAATTTCTTTGACTGTGCTTTCTTGTCTAACTTAAAAAATAAAAAATAAATGGGTAACATTTGTCCTACAATCATTGTTATAACTAAAAAGTCGATCTACTTTCTAAGTACTGAGTACAACAAAAGATTGCTCTTTATTTATTACTCAACCATACTTGTAATTTTCGCCTGCACACAATTTTATATTTGCAAATGCAGAATACTTTCCACTTCTACTCATTATTTAAAACCCAGAGAAAGCATTAGTCAACACTAAAGACAAAGCAATTTCTTCACATGGCTATTTTTAAAAGTTTACCAACATAAAATGAGGTTAAAAGATGAATTCTATTCACAGTTCTAAGTTTACATGTCAAAGTTAACATGTCCAAATACTTTTCTGTAATGGAATGACAACCCAGTGACTCAAAACAGGAGACGCAGAATCCAAAAACCTACACACAAAATAGGACTAGTTCAGTTGTTCCCTGACCTACAAAATAAAAGACTAGATCCAATGATTTTTCACCTTCTCTCTCTCTTTTTTTTTTTTTGTACGTGCCCCTAGCGGGAACCAAACCCGGGACTCTCTGGTCCGCAGGCCAGTGCTCCAACTCCTCAGCCAAACCGGCCAGGGCTTAGATCCAATGATTTTTAAACTTCCTTTCAATTCCAACTTTTCTTGTATAACACAGAATCAAATACCAGTTACCTTTAGTTTTATATTTGGCCTTGAGTCAGTTCTTTTTAACCTCTCAGTAAAGATAAAATTTTATTTAAACTATTTTGGCAAAAAAATTATTTCCTACATTATTATGAAGTTTATCCTAAACTCTCCTTTGGTAACTTCAGTGGGTTGAAAAGTGTCCCACAAAAAGATATGTCTACTTGGAACCTATAAATGTTACCTTATTTGGAAAAAGGGTCTCTGTAGGAATAACTGAATTAATAATGTCATCATGAGACCATCCTGGATTAGGGTGGGAATCCAATGACACTGTCCTTATGAAATAAAGACAGAGGGAAAAGCCATGTAAAGACCACGGCAGAGACTGGACTGATGCCTCCATAAACCAAGAAACACTGAGGACTGCAACAGCCTTAAGCTGGGAGAGGCATGGACCTGATTCTCTGAGCCTCCAGAAGGAACTCACACTGCCATCATAATTTGAGATTTATGGCCCCTGGGACTGTGAGAGATTTTCTTTTTAATCTTCACCTGAGCATATTTTTCCATTGATTTTTAGATAGAGTGAAAGAGAGAGAAAGAGAGAAACATTGATGTGAGAGAGACACATCAATTGGCTGCCTCCCGCCTGACCCCAGTCAGGGTCGGGAATCAAACCTGCAAGCAAGGTACGTGCCCTTGACCAGGAATCGAACCCCAGACCCTTCAGGACACAGGCTGATACTCTAACTGCTGAACCAAACCAGCCACAACCATTGAAAAAATTTTTAAGCCACCAAGTTTGTGGTAATTTGTTATGGCAGCCAAAGAAAACTAATACAGTGACAAATTTCAGAAAAGAAAATCCCTTTTTAAAGGTATTATCATAAACACAATTTATCTTTGGTTGTTACATATTTCACATTAGAAATTAGTGAAACAGCTTCATCATTTCTAGATTTTCAACAAAAACCAGTAACTTAAATCCTAGGTAGTCACAGATGAGCCTTGAATTTCTAACATTTACTATCAATGTGAGTCTATTTTGCCTTATGATTAAAATTATATTTACCGAAATGTTAAGTAACTTTTCCATCACAAATATGACCTGATCATTTGTAAATATTTTTTTAATATTTTGCCTACACTTCCTTTCTGAAGAGAATTTGTGCATAAGTTCCAGTATTAAAATGCAGGCCCAATTTTCTTAAACTTGTGTCTATAAAAAGTTTCCAAGCTTTTTGCGTGGCCAGCAGTACAAAAGTGATATGAGATCATTGTAAACAATTTTATTTTTCTAATATTACTCAGGCTAATGGAGCAAGTCTTAAACTTTTCTAAGTTCTTTACCACTTAACTCCTTGGATTTTTATATATGTTTAAAACACATATATCTGATGTTTAAAAATAAAAAAATCTGATGTGATCTGAGGATCACCATTGTCTAAAAGAAAGTCCATAATTTTTACCTGTTCAGTTGCTCATGTGGAAAGACTAAATTTATTTTTAGTTCAAGATGTCTGAGATGTTACCACATAAACCTCTGAGTGTCCTGGCTATTTGGCCACTGAAAAGTCTTGTTCAAAAAGATATAAAAAGTTAGGAAATTAATAACAGCATAGCAACCCAGTTCACAAACAAGTCTAGATATGGGTGGCAGAGGTATGTTTAGCCTATAAATAACATAAGGTAAAATAAAGTAACGAAACTCTAGCAGTTTCTGAGGTACTGTAACAGTAAATAAGCATATGAAAAACATTAAGTTCCAGAAAACTGACTTTGATTTCAATGAGTCAGTTATACTCCAACCAGCAAATAGATAGACTGGAACTAACAAATATTTCACAATTTCATATCTCTGCATAACTCTTTTCCACACATAGAATGTATAATGTCTGTTATCGGCTAACAAGTATTTATGAACATAAGTGAATTTCCACACTAAAAATACACAGACTAAAGTAAGCACAAAAAACTGAATTCTGCGTTTCCAAGCTAAGCAAAGAAAAGCTTTCATTTTGCTAGGAGACAGCAGGTGAGGAAAGGAAAAAAAGAGAGTGAAAGAGAAGAAGTAGAATAGCTGGGGAAAATGGAGACAGACTTCATGACTGCTCCGATCGCCAACGACAATTCCACCATTAACTACCACAAAAACACAAAACAGAAATATTAGAAGGATGTACGGCCAAGTCAAAAGGAAAAGCATACTCAAGTTCTTAAAGGACATGGAATAAACCCAAAGAAACTGAAGAATTTTCCTGAATTCTGAAAACGGTCCTTTAATAGGAGGAAGCCGTTCTTCCTTCTTCTTCTGTAGCTCAGTTTTCCAGGCTTCAGTGAGCTTCTGCGCGACGACGTTCCCTGCGCAGAACACAGCCCAGACAATGTTTGTTTGACGGAACATGAAGCCACAGAATCCAAGCAAGGCTGACGTTTTATGATTTCCATAAAGACACATCAAATAGGCAAAAAGTGTAAAAAACATGGATCCTGCTTCTGTATAATAAAGGAAGTTAAAAAAATAGAGTGTAGGAAATACTGCTAGGGTTAACGTTGACAAGATTCTCTGGACACTGGAGCCAGCCTAGGAGGAAGAGAAATCAGTTAAAATTATTTTCATAAAATAAATACGCTGCTTCTGTTGAGCTAATGAAGAGACTTCTTAAAACACAAAAACTACCTGAGTCTTATTTAAATAATATTATCAATATTAGTTTTATTTCTGGCTTTGCAAAAACACAAACACATTTATAAGAACACTGGCACTTTCTGGTTACACCTCTCAGTTTAGAAACCAGTAAGACAATAAATGTGGGTGCCAAACCGTCTATGGCCTAACATACTGTGAATCACTTAACAACAGTTAAGGAGTAATTGTGTGTAAGACACTAAACCAAATTCTAGGTGGAACATGGAGATGAATGGGACACAGTGCAGGTGGTTCCACCTCCCTGACCTTAAGTCTCAGCGTCAATAATAAGCACACATTTAGCAATCATCACCACTTTCTGTTAAGGATATCTCTTCAAAAGTCTACACTAGAGAATGTAAAAAAGTTTCTAGCACATATACTACCCTATCCAATGATCTTACTATTTCATGTTGAAATTACAGGGATTTTTCTTGAAAATACAGGGTTCAGTCTAAAGTTAAATATCTTTTCTTAGCCTGACATACTATGTCAGAATTTGAAAGTGTTCTCATCTCCTTGAATTGTAGCTTTCATTTATTTTTTTTCATTTTATAAATACTTTTTAATCCTTACCCAAGGATATGTTTTTATTGATTTTTTTAGAGATGGGGTGGAGGGAGGGAGGAAGGAAGAGAGAAACATCGATCGATTGCTTCTCATATGCACCCTGACCAGGGATCAAACACGAAACTTAGGTTAAGTGTCCTGGCCGGAAATCAAACCCACATTTCAGTGCACAGGACGACACTCCAATCAACTGAGTCACCCGGCCAGGACTGTAGCCTTCATTTAATTTAAATCACAAAATCAAACTGTGTCATTGCCTTGATTAAAATGAAGGGCTTTCTATCACCTATTCAACTTCAAAATCCTTTCCATAACATTAAGGACATTCATGACTTCACCCCTACCTACTTCTCCAACCTCACATTATAATTCTCTAATTCCAAAGACTAATTCCCTGTATCTCTTGATCAGGCTTTCTATTTTTGCTTCTGCTTCTCCCGTTAGGATTCATTCCCCTCCCTAAAGCCCTGTCTGTTCAAGATTCAGCCTTACCCACTGTCTGCTCTGCTCTTATACCTATCTCCCCCTCATAATTTACAGTATTAAAATAATCTTTTTAAGTTAAACATAATTATTTTTACAACAGGCACTATTCTAAGCACCTACCACTATTAATCTCCTTTACTTTTCACAATTGTCCTGTGAAGTAGATTCTGTATCATTCCCATTTAACAGATGAAGACATAAAGTCATTGAGGGATAAGCTGCCTAAAGTAACATAATTAGTAAGTGGATAGAATTCAAATCCAGGCAATTCACCTCCAGGGCCTGCATGAAGCCACATAACAATTCCTCAGGTAAAGTCTGTTTCCCCCAATGCAAATATAACTTTCATAAGAAAAATATTACCTCATTTACCTCTGCAGTTTCAGTGATTAGCACATGGAGCAAGCTCAGCCAATAGTAACTGAACTGGTTTCACTCATGAACAAACATTCACTTTAGATTTTATAAATAAAGAAAAGTTATTCAAGGATTTACCTGTAAATTTCTTCTAAAATGGAAGCAGGGTTTCTTGCTTTATTTTTACAAAATACATGCAAATACTATGTGTTAAAGACATTCGCCACCAAATCTCATAAAACCAATTCATAATTGTGGACTTGAGTGTATGTAAACTTAAAATACCTGAAAACATACCTTGTGTCTGGGTTGTACCTTTCGAAAAAGCAAGTACAGTAAATAGAAGTTGCCAACGCTGAAGAGAAGGTTCACAAATCTGAGCATTCCAATGGAGCAGACAACATGTTCAGACCACCCGAAGATCCAGCGGGCGGGTTTGACCACTCCGACTGACAGCAGGTACAGGCCAGGCAATGTAGTGATCATGGGGTCCCACTTGAAAATGAAAGGCCGACAATGAAGCAAAAGCAAATGGACTGCCACAAAGATGTCAAGTTCCAAAACATCTTTACCAACAACCAGGCACTTTTAGAAGTTATTCTGTGACATGATTAACTAAGTCCCCAGAAGATAGGATGTTGCCTCTAAAGAAAAGTTTTGCTTATATTTTGCCCCTGCACCTGCTTTGTGATTGTTAGGGTATCACCAACCAGTAGACATCAACTTAAAATCAGTTCCTACTCGTTAGAAAGACCTACTCACTCTTCTGGAAGCCTGTAGTTGGGTGATTAAATAGCAAATGATTCCATTTTTAAAAGTGTGGGAATATCAGCTGAACTGTGGTAAGTTTGAAGTAAAAGAAATGTTTAGAGAGGTTAAACCACAGGCTCCATAATGAAAGCTGACACGTATTGAGCGAGGAATAGTGATAAACCCTCGGTATTTAATCCTGCCACATGCCCTACAGTAGATACTATTTTCAGATGAGTAACTGGAAACTCAGAAACTTACAAGGTCACACGACTAGTAAATAAACTCCAAGACCTACAAGCAGGCCTTTCTCTAACCACACTTCACACTTCCAGCCGCTACTCTCCGACGCCTCGGGGGGAGAGCGACGCGCCTCCGCCGAGTCCCCAGGAACACGGGGCAGGTTCTGCGACCCGGAGCAGAGCCCGGGGGAAGCCCACGTCGCCCGGCGCACGCGGGGCACAGGGGTGACGCTCCCGGCACCCTCACCCAGGTCAGAGAGAGAGCACTCGGACGGAGAGAGTTATCCCGGAGCCTGCCGGGCTTTATCTGTGTGTCTATCTCTATATTCATCTAGTCCGTTATGCAGGCGAACACGACGCCACTCCACTAGGTGCCACTTCACCCAGTTCACAAAAGGGTCCCCCAACCCACACCAGGGATGGAATTAAAGTCACTTCGCGGTGGGGACGCCGCCCCCCGCCCCCCACACGGCCGGCGCGGACAGCCGGCTCCGGGGGTTGTTGCGCGGCCCAGGCGGCCGCCGGCCGGGTCCCGGGGTCGGGGGGACAGCCCGGCTACCACCGCCACCGCTGCCAGGAAGCGGGGCAGTAGCCGGGCTCCCATCGCGGATGCCGCTACCCTGCGGCCTCGGAGACGGCCCGGGGGAGGGGACAAGGCCGCCCGGCGCTTCCCCTCGCGGGCGGGCGGGCGGGGGGCGCACCTGCGCGAGGGAGAAGCGGCCCTCACAGTAGCGCTGCGCCTGCGGCAGGTGGAAGGTCTCGTCCATGTAGGGCTCCCGCAGCGCCCGGCTGAAGGCGGAGAACAGGAGGCAGGACACCAAGAACGTGCAGCTCAGGGCCGCCGAGAAGTAGTAACCCTCCAGCTGCGCCATCCCTGTCCCCATGGCCGCCGCCCGGGAACGCCGCCCTGGGAGACCGCTGCCGGGCGCTCGAGCCTGGAGACGCGAGCTTGAAACTCGTGATCGAAATGGGCGCGCAAGGCGGGACTGGCCGGACGGGACCGAACATAGCCGGAAGGCGAAGGATGCTGGGAGAGCGCGGACGCTGAGCTTCCGGGGAAAAAAACGGGTCACTGTTTCCGGAGTGACGAATTTAGGTACCGGACCGAGCGGTCGTCCTGTCAATCAAGCTGAACGGGGCTCACTGAGTGGCCAGTGCCTCCAGGAGGGGCGGGTCCGCGGCTCAGCTTTTGAAAGGCAAGAAGCTGCTTATCCTGCAAGCCAGTCGGCTTTTCCCCCTGCTCGTTCCCATCTCTCACCAGGAGGTGGCGTCGTTTCCCCACGTCTGCAATCCCCAAACTCTAAAAATTTGCACATTCCCCCCACCTGTCCCTCAGATGCTTCTGTATTCTCTTAAATTATCTGAATTATTAAAACCTGGAATTCGAAGGCATTTGATTTCATCAACTCTGGAGGGTGGGAGGGGAGCGTTGGTTGTGAAAGCTAATCTGAATGTCCGGAGAGACCATTCACTGCTGAATGAACTTCACTAATTAGAGGACTGTTTACATTAAAAGAGAAATCTTTCAAAGTGCAGATGCTCTCAAAAGGGATTGTTAAAGCGGGTTCATAGTACACTCTGACAACCAGATCACAGTACTCTACGGGAGTTGGGGAAAGCAATTATTTTAGAATTTAGGATGTTTTAGGTAAGGAAGGGTTTTTTGTGTGTGTGCGTGAGTGTGGTTGTTCTTGTTAATCTCTCCATTGAAGTATTATTTTTTCCTATTAAATAATAAGCCTAAGCATCCTAATGGGTGGCACTATGTATGACTTATATTTGTAGTCCCCAAAATGGCTTTCACATATTATGCACTTAAATTTACAGACTTACAGGCTACACAGACTTCACATATTTCTTGTATTGGGGCTTGGGAGCAGGGGGTGACAGGAAATATTTGAAAAATGCTGAAGATAAATTATGTGTTGGAATTTTGCCTTGAGCATGCTTGGCAACGTTTTGTAGAAAAATAATCTCTTGGGTAACCTGTTAGGTTGGGTTTGTTGAGAATATAGCACAAAGGACTCGGGGTTTCTTTAGAGTTGCAAACCTCAGCTCTTTCCCTGGGTCAAAGCAAATGCAGACTCTCCCAATTTAGCCAAGTCTGTCAAATTAAACTGACTGCCTCTCTATTCAGTCTCTGCTATTTCCTCATTAGTAGGAAAGTAAGAGGTGAATAAGGGGTGGGATGGGAATTTATTAAAACCATTGGGATCAAATCATGTTAGGATCCTTCCTTGATGTGATTCTTAGCTTTGTTTTCCCTATTAGTTCCCTTTTTATTACTGAGTACTGATCTATTTGAGATTATGTACAGAGGATACAGTCTTCAAGAGGTTGATAGGAACTATGAGTAATTGCCCCTAGATCCCATGACTTGCTCAGTTGTGATATACTTATTGGAGAGGTGGGTATCTTTGTCCTCTACCCTTCTAAATTTTCAACTGGGACCTCTGTAACAAAGACAGATCAACAAAAGAAAGGTATTCATATTTACTTAATGTAAGTTTTATATGACAAAGAGGTCTTCATAAGGAGTAAAGAACCAAAGAAACAGTTAAACCTGAGCATTTCTATGCTAGGTTTGATGAAGATTGGAAATTGTGGAAGAATATGGAATATGACAGGAGAAAGGGTATAAGTGTTGTAAACTGGAGGAAACTTAACAAGGCCTATTTATTGATATTCCTCTGTATCCCACTGACTTTAGAAATAAGGATGCTTCTTTCCTTCTAGGTGTAGGAAGGGTACCTCCCATATAAAGATTTTATGACCTACTATAGGGGAAGATCAGAAAAGCCTGCATACTCCAGTTCTCAAATTCCATCAGTTTGAAATATTCAATATGCCAAGGTGCAATATTTTGGGCTAGCATGTCCTGAACATCACCCCCTGCCCACCTCCACCCCACCATCAATACCATGCAGCTTACTGACCTTCCCTAGAAATACTGGGCATATTTTTTAAGGTAGTAGAACATGGCCAGATATTTCTGCTACCCATTTCTCTCCATAGTAATTGCCACCAAGAGCTTACCTTAAACATCTGTCCTCTATATATCACAACTCATTTAAGGTCATTAGGAAGTTTCAAGGAAATATGTGGTTTTAGGACTGTCAGAGATCTTTTTTTTTTTTTTTAATTTATTTATTTTTGTTACAGATGTTTCTCCTTTTTCCCCCATTGAGTCCCCCCTCCCCGCCCTATCCCCAGCTTTGTTGTCCATGTCCATTGTTCATGCACACATGCCTATAAGTTATGTGGTTTATTAGAGATCTTTATTATCAATCCACTTGACATCATTTCTCAGAAGAAGCTGAAGTTAAAGTGTTTTGCCTGAAATCACATAGGAAATTAGTGACAGAGCTATGGGTAAAAATTTTAATATCAGATCAAGAGTAATAAAATAATCTGATAACCTTATGATTTAAAATAATCTTTAATTTATACTGAACCACCACTTTTTTATCCACTTGATTATTTATGGGCACTTGGGCCCCTTCCATATCTTGGCCCTACAATGAACATAAAGGTGCATGTATTCTTTAGAGTTAATGGTTTGGGTTTCCTTGGATATATACTCAGAAGTAGAATCACTAGGTCATAAGGCAATTCCATTTTTAATTTTTTGAGGTAGCTTATTACTACTTTCCACAGTGGCTGCACCAATCTGCATTCTCACCAATAGTGCATGAAGGTTCCCTTTTCTCTACATCCTTGCCAACACTTGTTTGTTGATTTATTCAGGGTAGCCATTCTGATAGATTTGAGGTGATATCTCATTGTGGTTAGTTTCCCTTTCTGATAGGTAATTATTGGTATAAAAAATGCAACCAATTTCTGAATATTTATGTTGTATCCTGCTACTTCACTGAATTTATTGTGTCCAGTAGTTTTTCTGTGAAATTTTAGGGTTCTCTATATACAGTCATTTGCACATAATGAGAGCTTTATATCTTCCTTTCCAATTTAGATGCCTTTTATTTCTTTTTCTTGTCTTATTGCTATGGCTAGGACTTCTAGTACTGTGTTGAATAAGAGTAGTGAAAGTGGATATCCCTGTCTTATTCCTGATCTTAAGGGGCATGTTTTTAGTTTTTGCCCATTAAGTATGATGTTGGCTGTGGATTTGTCATATATGGCCTTTATTATGTTCAGATATGTCTCCTCTATTCCCACTTTGCTAAGAATTTTTATCATAAATGGGTGCTGGATTTTCTCAAATGGTAGTTCTGTATTTGTTGATATGATCATATAATTTTTGTCTTTCATTTTGTTTATGTGATGTATCACATTAATTGATTTGCAGATATTGTCCCAACTTTGCATCCCAGAAATAAATTCTACTTGATCATGGTGAATGATCTTATTAATGTATTGTTGAATTCAACTTGTTAACATATTGTTGAGGATTTTTACATATATATTCATCAGGGATATTGACCTATAATTTTCTTTCTTTGTAATGTCTTTATTTGATTTTGGAATTAGGATCACACTTTGAAAGTTACCTTTTCTCTTGAATTTTTTGGAATAGTTTGAGAGTATAGATGTTAGTTCTTCTTTGAATGTTTGGTAAAATTTACCTGTGAAGCCATCCAGTCCTGGATTTTTGTTTGTTGGGAGTTTTGTTTTGTTTTGTTTTTATTACTGCTTCAATTTTGTTAGTTCTAATCAGTCTGTTCAGATTTTCTTTTTTCTTGATTCAGTTTTGGAAGATTATATGTTTCTAGAAATTCATCCATTTCTTTTAGTTTTTTGGCATATAGTTGTCAGTAATATTTCTTAAAATCCTTTGTATTTCTGTGGTGTCAGTTGTTACTTCTCCTAGCTCATTTTTTACTTATTTTGGGTCCTATCTCTCTTTTTTCTTGATGAGTCTGGTTAAGGGTTTATAAGTCTTGTTTCTCTTTTCAAAGGATCAGCTCTTGGTTTCATTGATCTTTAGCACTGGTATTTCAGACTTTATTTTGTTTATTATCGCTCTGATCTGTTTTGTTTCCTTCTTTCTACTCACTTTAGAATTTGTTGTTCTTTGCTAGTTTCTTTAGGTGTAAGGTGAGATTGTTTAGTTGTGATTTTTGTTGTTTCTTGGGGAAGGCCTATAATGCTATGAATTTCTGACTTAGGACTGCTTTCACTGTGTTCCATAGATTTTGGGTTGTTGTGTTCTCATTTTCATTTGTCTTAAGGTATATTTTTATTTCTACCTTGATCTCATTGTAAACCCGTTTATTGTTTAGTAACATGTTATTTAGTCTCCATGTGTTTATGTGCTTTTCAGGTTTTTTTTTTTTTATCACAATTGATTTATAGTTTCATACCATTGTGATTAGAGAAGATGCTAGATATCATTTCAATATTCTTAAATTTATTGACACAGCTTTTGTGTCCTAACATGTGGTCTATCCTGGAAAAGAATGTATATTCTGTTGTTTTGGGGGTAAAATGCCCTGAAAATATCAATTAAATTCATTCGGCCTACTTTGTCATTTAAGGCTCCGGTTTCCTTGTTGATTTTCTTTCTGGAAGATCTATCCATTGATGTCAATGGAGTGTTAAAATATCCTACTCTGACAGTATTACTGTAAATCTCTCCCTTTATGTCCATCAAGATTTGCTTTATATATTTAGGTGCTCCTATGTTGGGTGCATAAATGTTTTTAAGGGTTATATCCTCTTATTTAATTGATCCTTTTATCATTATGTAATGTCCTTCTTTGTCTCTTATTATAGACTTTGTTTTAAAGTTTATTTTGTCTGTTTATTTGTTTCCATTTGCATGAAATATTTTTTCCAACCCTTTACTTTTAGTCTGGGTCTGTCTTTCATTCTTGGGTGGAGTTTCTTCTAGATACAGCATGTATATGGGTCTTGTTTTCTTTTCCATTCAGTTACATTGTCATTCCATTCGATCATTTAATCCATTTACATTTAAGGTGATTATTGATAGGTACATACTTATTGACATTTTATTCTTACAACTATGTTCCTTCTTTTTGTTTGTTTGTTTTTTGG